AGGATGCATGAGGAATACGACCTAGGAAGCAGTGGAGGAGGTCACTATATCAAGGCCAGGAAACTATTCCCTAATAATTTTGGTAGTCTTTCATTCAAGGTGGGCAAACATCACATCAAAAGATGTGAGAGTAAGAACCCATTGCACTTATACTGCTTCATTCAATACCCAGCAGCTCCTCATTGGCAGTTCACAAACTGTTTTATAAAGGATCAAGAACGTTCACTCTGAGTGGAGAAGGGTTATGGTGAGCTGAGTTTCCTACCTTCATAAGGAAGAAGAGCAGGATGATGATGAAGACGCTGACTTTAGGATGGATCCAGGCAGCAGATTTCCCTAGAATCTGAGGGTCCCCTGTGTATTTTGCCCAGGTATAGTTATCAAAGAGAGAGCTGATGGCTTCTCGTGGCATCAACTAAACAGCAAAAAAACCAGGCATGATCCATGATATTAGATGGAGTAAATATTCTACCTCTGTTCCAAGAAAGTGGAGTACATTTTTACTTTAGCAATTCATGATTATGAGACTTAATTCACATTTTTAACCTTCAGGAAGAGAGATGGGACTTTACCTGAACTGCTGAAAGGGTAACTACTTTTACACATGGAGTCATGTCTTCCTTATTACTTGCTTAGGAGAGTGAAACTTTTTCAAGTTTTATATGAAGGAGATGGCAGAGATCATGAGTCTCAGAATATAGTCCCTCCTCAGTCCAAACTCCTCCCCTCTTTCTTCCCCTTTCCATGACATAAGGTTATTGGCGCACCGGGTAAGGGGAGACTGTTCTGCAGAATCGCACAGACTTGCACATACACATCCCACTCTCACCTCTCCTGCCATGAACTGCCCAAATCCAGGAGGAAAGGTCACAGTTGCTATAAGGAAGGTTATAACCCCAGGGTATATGAGGCGGCTGAAAAGAAAGAAAAGTTTATTAAAATACAATCTCACATTCTTTTCTTGTAGCACCATCACTTCAGGACTATGAATGCTACTTCTGTGAAAACTCTGTACCACATCTGTATCCATTGCTTTGAAGTTCTCTTACTGGCAATTTAATGCCCTCTTCCACTGATCATCAACATTCATAGAGAGTTCAACTGTCAGCAAAGCCATTTTTCCCATCAGAATTAATGTAACGGGAGGGATGGAGGGAGAGAGGGATGTACAAAATGTGCAAACTTGAATACCTGGGGAGGGTGGATGTGTATTTACAATGATATGTTGACCTATTGTCAAAAGCCAGCACCTCCTCCATTTGTCCTGGTTATGCCAGTCTTTCTTCTTCATCCCCCTTGCACTGTATCCTTGTCCTAGTGTGTTTAAATGTAGGGGGTTTTCATACATTTCTGCATGCATCCCCCATTGCATTAATTATTCTGAGCAAACCTACTTTTTTTTTTCCATTGAATTGCTGACTGTCACAATTTTTGGGAAGGTGCCCCTGGTGGCCGGTGGTCTAGCTGTGCTGGGCTAGCCATCTGAACGCAGATGGCTGAAGCCATCTGTGTTTTTCTACTGCTCTCTCCAATCACAGTTTCTGGGTACACTGTGACACTTCATGGGCACTAAGACAACATGAGTCTAGGCTGCCTCCACATGCTGGACTAATCTTGTCAGATCTCCCCTAATAAATTACTGTGTTCCTGACTGGAAGTTCTGGCTGAGATACTGTTGTATTTAGGAAGACAAAATGTTTGATTTCTTTCAGTCTAAGGACCTACAGAATTCTGAGAAATTAGTCAAAAGTTTAAAGTAAATTCCCATTTTTCAGGCTTTGCTCCACTCTATTAACTTTGTTTGATGGCTCTGCTGATGCTTGTGAGTAATGCTACATAATGAAAAAAGACAATTTTTCTTCCACATAATAAATTAAGTTAGTTTGAACTTCTTTTTAACTAGTGGTTTTCTTCTGCTCAGATCTTCAACTTGCTAAGAAATGTAGGTCCTTCACACCTCTCAACTTAAAAAATTCTCATAGTGTCAGATTTTTTCTGTAGAGACTGAAGACATTTATGGTTAGCCACCTTTTCTTCTTCAGGTTATAACTTTGGAGGTTATAACTTTATTAGAGAAGGCAAAAAAAAAAAAAAAAAGCATCTTCAAGTGCCCTGTAAAACCTTTATTGCTAAGATTTTTATTTTGGTTTGTATTTCTCTTCCATGCCGCAGTTCACACCATTAGGCTTTAAAATAAAGTTGCTGGGGGAGGGGAACCTAAATCCATTCCACTCCTACCAGTCTGATGCCAGCGCCAGCAACAGATGCACAGAGCCTGGAGAGGGATCACAGGTCAGCAGGAGAGCACCTGAAGAGCAGCATGAAGGAATCCCAGCCAGCAAGTCAGCTTCACTGAGGCCCTACTTAAACGCTTCTATGCAGTCGCACATAGTATGGGGAATAAACAAGAGGAGTTAGAGGTGTGCACATGTCTTCAAGGCTATGATCTTATCGGCATCACAGACACATGGTGGGATGGCTTCTATGACTGTAGTGAGGAATGGGAGCATGCAGGCTCTTTAGGAAGGACAGGCAGGGGAGATGAGGAGGGGGGGTCACCTTCTATGTCAATGACCAGCTGGAGTGCATGGAGCACTGTCTGGGGATAGATGAGGAGTCAACCAAGAGCTTATGGGTCAGGATTAAAGGGAGGGCAGGGCAGTTGTTCTCCAAGTGGCAGAGCAGCCAGTGAGGAGAGGTGCTATACTGGACCTTGTTCTCACCAACAAGGAGAGTGAAGAACGTGAAGCTCAAGGGCAGCCTTGGCTGCAGTGACCATGAAATGGTGGAGTACAAGATACTTAGGGCAGTGAGGAGGGTGCACAGCAAGCTTGCTACCCTGGACTTAGGCGAGCAGACTTTGGCCTCTTCAAGGAACTGCTTGGGAAGGAAGAGGGGCCCAAGATAGATGGTTAATATTCAAGGATCACCTCCCCCAAGCTCAGAAGTGGTGCATCCCAACAAAGAGGAAGTCAGGGGAAAATGCCAGGAGGCCTGTGTAGATGAACAGGGAGCTCCTGGACAAGCTGGAAAAAAAAAAAAAGGAAGCCTACAGAGGGTGGAAGCAAGGACAGGTAGCCTAGGAGGAATACTGAGAAATTGTCCGAGGAGCCAGGGATCAGGTTAGGAAAGCCAAAGCCCTGATAGAATTAGATCTGGCCAGGGACATCTAGGGCAACAAAAAAAACTTCTCTAGGTACATTGGTGATAAAAGTAAGACTAGGTCAGATGTGGGCCCTCTCCAGAAGGAAATGGAGACCTGGTTACCTGGGATATGGAGAAGACTGAGGTACTCAATTACTTTTTTGCCTGTCTTCACTGCCCAAGTTGCAGAAGGCAAAGGCAGGGACTGGGAGAATGAAGAACTGCCCACTGTATGAGAAGATCAGGCTGAAGACTATCTAAGGAACCTGAAGGTGCACAAGTTCATGGGACCTGATGAGATGAGTCTGCGGGTCCTGAGGGAACTGGCAGATGAAGTTGCTAAGCCACTATCCATCGTATTTGAGAAGTTGTAGCAGTCTGGCAAAGTTCCCACTCACTGGAAAAGGGTAAACATAACTCCCATTTTTAAAAAGGGAAAAAGGGAAGACCAGGGGAACTACAAGCCAGTCAGTCTCACCTCTGTATTCAGCAAGATCATGGAGTGGACGTTCCAGGAAACTATGCTAGGGCACATGGAAAATAAGGTGGTGGTTGGTGACAGCTTCACTAAGGGCAAATCGTGCCTGACAAATTTGGTAGCCTTCTGTGATGGGGTTACAGCGATGGTGGATAAGGGAAGAGCAACGGATGTCATCTACCTGGATTTGTGCAAAGCGTTTGACACTGTTCTGCACAACATCCTTGTCTCTAAACCTGGGAGACATGAATTTGGTGGATGGACCACTTGGTGGATAAGGAATTGGCTGGATGGTTGTACTCAAGGAGTCATGGTCAATGGCCTGATGTCCAAGTGGAGAGCAGTGATGAGTCACGTTCCCCAAGGGTCAGTATTGGGACTGGTGCTGTTTA